AATGAAGACAATCAATGTAAAGTGTTTAGCTCAGCGTATTCCACAGAATGCAGAATATTATTGTTTTACATGCTTTGGGCTCTGTTTACAATTAACTGCCATCCAAAGTTTTGTTCTTTTGGATTGTCAGTCAATAATATATTAACTTAGTAAGAGAAGTGAGAAATAAATATAACGTAGAAAAACAAAATAATATGAATACCTCCACCAGTTAGCAGTTTCATAGAGTTAGTGGGAAATTAAATTAAGACAGTCAATATAAAGTGTTAATTTACTAGTGTCTTGCAAAGAATGGGTAATGTTATTATTGCACATGCTTTTTCCTCTCTTCACAAAATACAGCAAATTATTGTTACCTATATTGGAGATGTTTTTTGTTAACTTAGTAGATAAAATATCAACTTTAATATAGAATTTTTTTTTAAAACCTAGGGTAGAAAATTAATCTCTCAAATGTGGACTGAGCCCTTGTCTCAGTTGTCCCATCCTCCCTCATGCATGTGGTGATCAGAACATCCTGGATTAGACATAACTCATTCCAGGAAGTCAACATAAGGAAACCCCAAGTACTAGGCTGCATGGAGTCTGAAGTGATGCTTCATTTGAAAATAACATTTTATTTGTTTTAAATTATCTCTAGTTCATGAATAGAAACTTTTAGGGAAAATTAGAGTACTGAGTAGATAATGTTGTTAAAATAAAGTATTGCTGTCACTGGGGGGAATATATCCTAGTAATACAGGTACAGATAATACATTATGAAAGAATGCAGATGGAATGTGGTATGCCCTCAAAAATAATTTCAAATAAAAAATTGTTCTAAAGGAGACAAGACATTGATAGCAATGATCCATGCGAAAAGCTTATTTTCATAAAATGGGGAAAAATATAGAATATTTTATGTCCAATTTCACATGTGAATATATAATCAAATTACTTAAATATTGAAAGTTGTAGTTCTCTCCTCCCACATTAGTATGTTTCTGTAGACTATCTAGTCCTGTCTGATCCACTGGAGCTATCGATTCTCACTTTGTTTTTCTTTCTCTAAGCCTCTTATTCCCACTAACTGCTTGAGGTACTTGATATTATTTGGCTTTTACCATCACTACTCTTCTGCCTTTGGTCCTTCACCTGCTACTTCTTATGGCTCTTATGAGGCCTCTGGTGGCGAGGAGTCTGGTGGTGGTTCTTCTGGTGGCAGGGAGTCTGGTGGTGGTGCTTCTGGAGGTGGAGCCCCCTCCGGAGGTGTGGCCCCCTCCGGAGGCGTGGCCCCCTCCGGTGACTGGGCCTCCTCCGGTGACTGGGCCTCCTCCGGTAACTGGGCCTCCTCTGGTGATGGGACCTCTTCTAGTGGTGGGGTCTCCTCTGGTTGGACCTCCTCTATGGCCTCATTTTCTTCCATTTCTGCCTCCGATGTTTCAATAGTCTTTTCCTCTGAACTCTCCTCTGAAGAGCCCCCTGGGGTCTCTACTGACTCAATTCCGGCATGGAGGCTAATGAAACACATTATTACTAACAATAATAGTATAAGAAATGCAGGAAATATGAAAATTAAAATACGATAACTTTGATACTCAGTGTCACGTTTAACAGGTCCACCACTTCCATCTGCATTGGTATCTCCATCATCTAGTTTGCCAGGAGGACCACTGTCTACACTACCCCCATCACCTGGATATTTGCAGTCAGGGGGCGCATAGCCAGCTTCACAATGGCAGTGCCTTAAATTGTTGCAAGTTCCTTTCCCATTACACATTACTTCTGGGTCGCAGTCATAGTTGAGCACGGTATAATCAGTGCAGGAGTAATTCATGCAGACTTTGTTAGGGGCACAGAGAGTGCCAGTGTGGACATCTCCCTCATCAGAGATATCAGCAGTGTTGTAGGCATCCATGCTCCAGCAGTGGCCAATGCCATGAGGAACCTGAATCAGTGTGTGATAGGGTTTGATTTCTGACAACTCTGAAATGTCTGTACATATAATTTTCCCACAAAATATATTCTCGTCGAAACACTTAACGTATCCCGACGTTGCCGAAGTGGGACGGCCACAGTTTCCAAACCGGTCCCCTTTGCCGTTCATTAAAATATAACAGGCTTCGGGGGCAGACCTTGCAGGGTAACCATATATTTCCAGGCATTGATTATCAGCGTTCTTACACCGACCGGCAGCGCAATAGTGAGCTCTATCACACGACGTGCCATCTTGCTTATAGCTGTCTGCGGGGCATTCTCCAGAGAAACCATCACAATACTCTGGGAGGTCACACTCTCCCACAGCAGGACGGCACGTGAATCCCTTAATTCTCAGTTGGCAACCGATACAGCAGAGTCCGCCACTACAGTCCGCATTCCCCTTCAGCCTACACGTTTGGTCACAGCACGGGGAATTCAAACACTCAGTGCCACAGTCACACTGCTCATCGTCCTCCACCACACCATTTCCACACACAGCATTCCTACGCAGCCGGCCTTTGTGCTGAGGGTTGTTAAATAGGCAGGCCCCTTTGTGTTCCCGGAGGAACTGGTAGTAGTAGTCAGAGCTGCAGTTGCTGAAGCCACTTTCCTTAGAGATATTTTCATGCATGAGGCAAAAGTGTCTGTCTTGACAAATGCAGGCCGAGTGGTCGTGCTGAATACCCAAGTTGTGCCCGAGCTCATGGACCATGAGCGCCGCAGACAGGAGGACATCTTCGTGATGGAAGGATTCGACAGCTGCTGCAAAGCCACTTGAACAGGCACCACTGAGAAATGCCTGCCCCATGCCCTCCGCAGGACGTTGTCCAACAATCATGTGGGCGACATCGTGCTTCACGCGACGGAGGAGCTTCTCCTGTCTCCAGCTATTGAAATTGCTGAGTGTAACTTGCAGGTCCACTGGGACCTCTACGAGGTCCCCCTCGCTCCAAATCTCCATTCCAGCCAGCAGCACCTGTGTGTTAATTCCCCTAGTGAAGCTGTTGGCCAGAGCAACGATGTCCGCCACTCTCTGGACCGTGTCATTGACGTTACTGCCCCACATTTGGAACCGCTGGTTGTTGACCACGACGAACATCTCCACGTACTTGGTGTGCGACCACAGGTAGGATGGCGCCTGTACACTGCCAGGCTTCCTGCTCCCTTGTCGCCGGCTGCTAAACACCACTGGGTTGTCTCTGGAAGGGACACTGCAGGAGACTCGAGCTCGATGTGCCACGGTGTACAGCACGTGTTCAAACCGTTTTGAAGAGTTCACGGGCTCAATGCCGTAGGATTTTGCCTCCTTAACGAGGATGCCCCTCAGGCCTGAACAGGTGTTGACAGAAACAAAAGAACCTGGGACTCCTTGTATGTAGCCTTCATAGTGACAGTCGTGCGGGAGGAAAGGCATTTCTTGCCTCAGAATGCCACCGTGGTAGCTGAAGACTGGAAAGCTCGTCACGAAGTAGTCTCTCTTCACCGTCAGGTGAATCAGCTGCTTCTGGCCCTGCATAAATATCACGTAGGATGCCTTTTCCACTGGGGCATCGCTTCCCTCAGCCGTCATACTCTTGGGGATGACGATTTCATAGGAGGAGTAATATACTGATCCCAGGTCACAGTACATGCTTGGCAGAATAATCACCAGCAGCAACACAATCCCCGACCAGACACATGAAGATCCTGGCACTGGCTCCAGCTTCAAGTCCCTCTTCCTCTGACTCCAAGACTGAAACTTTATCTTACCCTCTTTCAAGGTCACTTGGTTTTTCCATAGAGAAGTCAAGAAGGAGGCAGAGTCGCTCACAGCGGCCGCCACTGACATGGCCCTTGTGGATCTGTTGATGATGTAAGGCCCTGTCCACTAGCAGCAGCTCACCCTGGCGTGCTGAACCTCAGAGACTTAGGTATTAGCCTCAGATCTATGCTGGCTCCGTTATGGGTGACTGCTGCCCAACTCTGAGTCTTACAGACTTTGGGGTGTGCTAATATTCCTGCTTCTCTTGGCCTTCGGTAGTTTCCTTACTGTATAACTTCGAACAGCAACAGCTTTAATGCTCCTTGGCTAAATTCCCTTTCCCCTCATAGAGATATACACCAAATACAAAGCCTATAAATGATTTGGCCAGTATTTATCTCTGGCAAATTATCCTTATCCTCAGCCCAGGCCACACTACTCCTGATATCCGTTAATCTGCTCATTCTTAGAACCCCAACATTCTAGCAGGAGGTTGGGGGTAGGGGACAGGGATTCTTCGGGGATCTATGAGCAGGACAAAGTTCTCTATTACCCAATGACACTTTTCTTCATTTCTGTATTATTCAGGGTACTGTTTCTCAGTCCAACCCTTCCTCGGAGTGTGCTTCCTTTAATTAAAAAAAAATTGGTTTTTTCCTTTAATTCAAGAAAAACTGCCATGTAGATGCACAAATTCTCCTTCATTAGCCTTTGTTCATTGTAGATTAATTTAGACATTTTATATCTGCATATAAACATAATTTTTCTCTACTAACAAGTTTTCCATGTTAGTAGACACATTAAGTGTTAAATGAAATGAGCTCAGTTTCACTCTCCAGGTATTTAGGATCAAAGTTCAATTCTTCCCAAGCCTCCAAACATAAACTCTGATTAACTACATATCTAGTTACCATTTCATCAAGAAAATAAAAGTGGACCCTATAAGACCTTTTAAAAAATCTCTCCACTTTTGTAACTAAAACTGAACTGTAACATCTGTGGATGTCCTTGGATCTGGTTTTGATGTCAATTTCCTGGTGTATTTAAATTTAAAAGGAAAAAAAGGGAGGAAAAGCTTTATCCACATTCCTTACCTAGTCAGTTATTCTCCTGTGCATTTTTAAGATGAAGTAAAATAAGACTCTACATCTTTTATCTTGCATAAAAATAATTTATATTAAGTCAAATATTTACAATATAAAACTTTTAAAATAAGCGTTATGAGTACAAGTTTAACACTCAAAAATGGGGAAATGCCATAATTCAAAAAGGAATGGTATATCACAAGATCTCAGATATGAGCAAGAGAGTAGATCAACTTAATTATCCCCAATTTATATTTAATTCCTAATACAGATAAAATTTATTAGCATCTAGTAAGAAAATTTATACTGTCATATCACAAACCCATTAAAAATTTTACAGCAAAAAAGGTGAAATGTTTTCTAGCCAATTTCTTTTCTTCTTATATTTTATATAAGAGGATAGACTCTTAAAATTATATAATTTAGAAGTTATCACAGATTTAAGGTGTTTCCCTGTATCTAACCAAAAAAGACAGGGCAAATTAAGTCATTTTCTGGGATGAAAGAATTAAATCAGTAATGAAAGAACACCTCTACTTTTTAAATAAATAAAAATATAATTTAAATTAAATATCCAATTTTCCGATTCTCAAATTGAAACATTTTCTTCAATAAATTACATACACACGCAAGCATTCATACACAAGGTCTGATTTAAATAATTTGACTTCTTTAACCAATAGTTCCTTCAACTTGTTCTTTCTTAAATGACTATAAGAACAAAACTTTAAAAAGCAGTTCCTCCTATCTGTATGTTTTAAACAGTAAATTTCTGACAGATATTCTCCTATGCTTATATAATATATTAACCAGAAAGATATACAAGTTGTTTTACATCAAGCAGATTTTAACTATGGTGAAGTCTAACGATATTTGAGTGATAAGTAATGGCTTTTAGTAAGCAGAAGGTTAGCAAATCATGTGGTAAAACTGGAGACTCTACCCTCCTATGAGAACTATCCTTATAGTATGAACTTTCCACAGGTATAGGCATTAGAGAAACAGGCCAGAAGAATCAAGGACAATTTTGTCTCACTTCCAGTTACATGTGACTTTTGACAGCAGTATTTGCTACTAGCCTATAGACAAACTCCAGAAAGAAAACTCCGCTTTGAAGACCAAACAGTGCTGAGTCCTTTGGAAGCTACTGTTCTGTGAAGGAGCTCTGTCCAGAGTAGGACCCACTTGAGTTACACCAGCTGGGGCACCTTCCAGGGTAGTCACAAACTTCCAGCTCATCTAGACGTGTCTGGACACCACATAAATTTGGGGGGCCAGACTGATTCAGCCTGAAATGACTAAAACATGGGTAACTGCTGCTCAGAGTAAAAGGAAGCATCATTAAGGACACCTTTTTAGATCATGCCTAAGATGCCTCACACTGAAGGAAAAAAAATCCTCCTGAGCCTTTAAAGATACTCAAATAACAAATTTGAAAAGTTAATGGAAAAGAATAACAAAGTTAATTATTGCCTTCTTCTCCCCCAGTGAATACTGAACCTCTGCCCTAGGATAAGAAAAACAACAGGTGTTCAGTTGTTCTAGAAACAAGTACAGCTTTTCCCCGATTGCAAAAACTGATTTGTAAGATTGCATTTCACTGAAAAATAGAATAATTTAATTCAACCCTTAATTCAACTCTCAGCTAAATTTTCTGGTGGGTAAATAAGAAAACTGTTTTTTCTCTGCTGCCTAACTCTTAAATTTTGCCATGTTTTTAAAAGTATTGACTTCTCCTTACATAGTATCCATTTATAAGTGATCAGCCACCTAAAATGAGTGAGCCTTACCTCAAAAAATACCTCGAATTACAAATTCTCCAAGATAAAGGGAACTAATGTAATAAAGTAATTCTTAAAAGATTCTTAGTATTATTATTATCACATATTTCCACAGTCATAAACATATAAGGAGCATACCAACCAAATATCACCTTGAAGACATACTCAACAAAATGGAGGAGTTAGAAAATAAGTTAGCTTTGTGGGATGGATTGATTGAAGAGAATGTGATGGGATAAAACTGAATAACTGAGCCTCGTGATCCATTTCCTCTGCTCTGCGAACTGAAGTTTGCCTATTAGATCTTCTATTTACCAACACAGGTACCCACCAAAAACTGCTAAATAAACATAATTTGTTATGGAAGCCCATATGCACAACAGAAGACCAGAAAAGCATCCAGCTTTGTTTTCCATTCACACACTTGAACTCCAGGCCAAAACCATGCTTCGTGAAAATAAAGGTTATAGAACAAAATAAATGCAGCCCAGGGGATACCAACATGAAACCCAGGTAGAAACATTAAAGTGGAAAAGGGCAGCTTTAAGAGAAAAAACTGGATCATCTTAGATGTTAATTCAATAGTCCAGTTTTCATGATATGTAACTTTCTCCGAAAAATCATCCCATAAGGGGGCCAGAAGAACAGGGAAAGGAAATAAGAAGCACTGAAGCTGGTGAGGAGTGTCGGGAAGGAGGAGGATAAAGCAGGATCTTGGAGTAAGGGAGACTGAAGCTTCGATTAAACATGAAAAGAATAAACTCAAAAGAATCCATTAAAGAAACACACCAATACCTTAACAAATATGACAAAAAAGAAATGTTACCACTTTTCTCTTGGAATTAGGGACAAGAGAAATGAAGGCTCAGCTCCCTGCCTCTTCCATCATGGGAGTTGGCATCCTTTGAATTTCAGCAGGCAGTCTGCAACGTGGATCCACAAAAATTTCTTGGCACCAGAGCTAATCTACCAATAGTGCAGAAAGTAAATACACAGGGCAATTGAAACCAAATTCCACAATATTTGATTCAACTGTTTACTAAGCAGAAAGATCAGTATAGTTGGTCCTTTGTCTACCGCTGGCCAGTGGTTTTTGTATACTTTATTACAAATAAAACAATCTTGCTTCACAATATCATGTCATCTTACAAACATATTACTAAACAGTCCTAAAGTAATAGCATATCTCTAGGAACTGAGCTTAAAAACAAATAAACTATACTATTAGTAAATACTGTATCTAAATCTATACAGCATCTTTAAGCAATGTGAAAAATGAAATGATTTATTAATTTACATAAAAATTACTTTACACATTAAAGAATAATTTTTTAAATTGTAAAAAAACAAAGTCTGAAGCTGTCATTATTGGGATTCATGGGACGTGGTCTGCTCTTCTATCACCTGCTTCACAATTTCTGCCAGTTTTAGTCGATCTACTTTATCTGTGAATCCACGACCTGAAACCGAAGAAATAAAAAGGTCAATCTCCAAATCATTTGGGAGGTAACAGAGTGTTGACAGGGACCCAATAAGGTACACCTTACCAGTGTCAAAGTCATCCTCACCAATGGAGGAACCATCCCCAACACTGATCAAAAGCAGTTCAGATCCCCCATTTTGCAGGTAGCAAATGAGCAGTTCCATTAACCTGGCAGTAAAAATCCAACAACAGCAAAGGAAACCATGAAGCGGGAGTTCTTTGTCACAGGTATGCCTGACAAGGAACTTCTACTCCTACACATCGATAAGGATATAACTCAGAAAAATGGGCAAAAGAAAAGGTACTTCCCAAAAGAGGAAATCTAAATGGCCAATAAACATTTTAAAAGTGCCTAAGCTCATCAATCATCAGGGAAAGGCAAAGTAAAATGACACTGTTATACCAGTACATACTAACCAGAAGGACTAAAATACATTTTTTAAAAAACAGACAATAGCAGGTGTTAGTGTAACTGGAGGCAGAGTAACTCGAATCCTCAAACACTGCTATGAGAAGTATCGATCCGTATAACCACTTTGGAAAAATGGTGGCAGTGCCTACTAAAGCCAAACAGATGAATACCCCCATGAACCAGAAATTCCAATCCTAGACATGAGAAAAATGAGGTCATTAAAAGATATATGTAAGAGCATTCACAGCAGCACTTTCCTTAATTACTGAAACCAGGAAACAACACAAATGTCCATTCAAAAGTAGGAAAAAAAAAAAAAATATATATCACATACATATATATATATATAGGAGAGAAATATATAGAATGTGTATGTATGTGTACACACACACACACACACACACAGAATGAGAATGATTTGCTGCTACACATAATATGGCTGAATCTCACAAATATAATGTTAACTAAAAGAAGCCAGACACGAAAGAACACAGACTTATCTGATTCTATTTTCATAAAATAAAAAATCAGGTGAAGCTAATTTCTAATGGTAGCAATTGGGATCATGGGGGAGGGAGGGAGTGAGCAGATTCCATGTTCCACTACCTGTTCTAGGTGCTGGTTATAGGGAAGTGTTCACTTTATGAAAATTCATCAAAAGTGCACACTTCAAATGTGATCACTTTTCTGTACTGATATTTCAAAATCTTAAAAAAAGAAAAAAAAAACAAACCCAGGGAAGCCAATCTCCTCCATGTATGGGAATGACTAGGCTGGCACTTTGGATTTCTCAGGTCCGAGAACCAAGCCAGGCAACGAAGTCAAAGAGTCTGCTCCCTTCCCTGAGCATCCTGGAGCTTAAGACTAGTTTAGACTGCTAAACTAGAAAGACAATACAAAGAGCAGATCATGAAATACATTTCCACCTTATTTGCCTGGGGAAAAAATTCGACAAGCAGCAGACTTGAAAAACTGGTGAACCAGCTCTTCTCTAAGCTAAGCACATCAGCAGGGTGGACTCCCTGGTATTTTGCCTTCTCTCTCCTTCAGAGTACACTGCTCCTGAGTGACCTGGTGAACAAGCCGGGTATCTGGGACAGTTCTGAGAGCTGCGGGAGTTTTATGCCCAAGCAGTGTGTTAACAGGGGCTCTATAGTGTTGAATCTGCAACACAACTTATTTGAACTCTGGAGAACAAGTGAAAGGGCCATATGTCTAGATATGCCTGAACAGCTAAGATAGAGCTAACCCCGCTCCCACAATATTCCACTCACTCTTTAGCCTCTCTTCTCCCAAAAACAGACCTCACTTGGCCCCCAGAGATCTTACATGTTCTAAACACAATCACTTCTCTGCATTTCTGGGGAAAGGAGTGATTAAGGCTCCTACCATTCCAGCTGAAGCTTTGCAGAGTATCTCTTAGGAGTTTGCATTCCCGGTTATACTTCCAAGCCTCTTGCATTACTTCATTCAGCTTTTCATCTTCATTCTCTCCTATTGATAAAGATGGAGTTGCATTTCTCTGAAGCATCATGGGACTTTAGTGTCAGAGATGGAAGGACAACTTGTTGAGAAGTAATGATTATAGGTACAAACTTGATCAGACACTTGTTACTGCTAGTTCCCACATTACACCCAGACCACTTCCGGTCTCTTTGAACTCTTCTGTTACAGCCTCACACAAATCCTCCGATGGCCCCAAAGCCTTAGCATTGAGGGATGGAAAATAGGCAGTGTCAGACTCTATTGCTGGGCAAAAACAGCTTAGGTCTCTGGTTAACCTAAGAGACCAAGAGAGGGAGGGAGAACAAGCCTGAGTGGGCTACCTTCTTTCTCCTAAGCTCATTTCTTACTTTAGAAGGCTACATGAGGTACACTATGGAGTTCTCTTAAAATGCAAGGAATCTAGGTCAACCCAACAGTTGTCTGGCCTACTACTTGAAGCATCTCATTCTCCTGAAAGCCCATCACATCCTGTTGAGTGGAGAAGAACATACTGAAAGCAAGCTCAGACTCAAAAGAATCCATGTATAAGTCACACTCTGCCCATGCTATGAGTAGCAGCAGGGGCCACTTCTGAACTTGGGGGTATTCTTTTTATAATCACAGTTAATAAAGCCTTGTACCCTAACAGCTCTGGAAATGAAGTTTCCCGATTGTCCCAAACTGATCCTGATTCTGTCCATACTTTCCATTCTGTACCCTATGCCCCCACTAACAAACTAAGAAAATATAAAATTACATGCTACACCTGACACTGGCAATTACACCTAAATTAGAAATGTCACAGAAAACCAAAGGAAAGGTAGAACTTACCACATCTGTGAGTTCCCAACGTCCACTCTTTTGAGTGGGCACAGACTTTTATATATAAGTTTATATTATGCACTTATTTTCTTATACACAAAGATGAAACAGACAACCTCAAACCAGTCCTTTTGTCACATGCATGGGCAGACACACACATGCACACACAGACACACCGAGCATTCAAAAATGGTGTGACCTTTACCAGCCTGGGGGAGAATACACTGAGCAATCACATCTCGAAGCTTTTCCAAGGCAACATTTGAATCCTCGGCTCCATTCTCGCGGTCGTGGATATAAACACCATCCTTTGGCTTGGTACTTTAAAAGTTTGGGAGAGAGGTGATAACAAGGTGAGACCCCAAAACCCAACTCTCAGCAGATGTTAACTCTAAAAATAAAACAACAGATTTTTCAGATAAATAATTAGCTACAGAGTATCTCCAACTTCTGATGCTATTTAAAGAGCTTATCCTTTGTATTCTCTTAAGAGGCAGAGAAAGGGCAGTAGCCTGCCAGCCTACACTCAGCCACACCAGCCATGATGTAGAATGACGAAATAAGCTCAGTTACCCAAGTAATTTCCTCTTCCTCAGAATGGGGTTGTTCACAGAGTGCAGAGGTTTGAGGCTGACTTTCAGATCCTGGATTCGCATGTTGGCCAACTGTTCTGCATGGGCCTGCTGGATTCCTGCAACCACCGCCTGAATGCAAACACTGTCGTCAGTTTTTCATTCATTTCTAAAGCACCTAGAAAGCCAATCTAAGAGTAAGAAGACGCTCAAAGAACTAAGAAGGCAATTTCACTCTTATGCTGGCCATACACAAATTTTGATAAAGCCAAGGATTCTTCCCCATAGATCAGCAGAGTCCAGGGAATACTAGCCCTTCCTCCCTGTGGCAGAACAGACATGCAAGTAAGAATTACTAACAAGGCTCATGCTCACAGTCACTGGCAAAGACAAGTGTGAAGAGAGGCACACGTGTACCTCAGGGAAGAGGCTGGCAGGCTACTGCCCAAGAAGCCTCCCAGACTGGCATTTATTAACTGCTCCCATAGTGAAAATATGCACCTCAGCCCTGATGGCTCAGAACCCCAACCATTTCACACAGTGAGCATGGCAGACCCTCCAGAACTGATGTATAAGCCAATAAATTTACAATGAGAAATAACTGTCACGAAGTGTAGAACTCTTGAGGTCTGTGTCTTTATGACCAGTGCGAGCTCACTATGGGCTCACCAATGAGGGAAGGCAAATACTCAACAGAAAACTTTGTTAAGAATGAGGGGATCCCATTTTTGTATTTTAAAAAAGGATAAACTGAGTGTGTGTGTGTGTGTGTCTCTCCAGAAAAATATCAAGAAGGATATATCAGGCCATAGATTACCTCATCTCTAAGGGGTGAAACTGAGGCAAGGCAACGAAGGGGAACTTTTGCTTTTTATTTTATCTATCTCTATACTGTCTGAATTTCAACAATGAAATTTGACCATTTAAAAAATATAATTCCTTGGTAAGCATGCAATTAAGATCAGGAAGAGTTCAGACTCATTTATGGGAACTATAATAGCTGGCCCTGGTTAGACCCCTCTTCATCAATGATGGCCCAACCAGAAAGACAGGGACAGGGACAGTTCAAGGTCATGAACTCAGGCTCCGTCTCCTAGTCAGGGCTTAAATGGACACTATTCAACATCTGCATGTGTGGACATTTTTCTACACTTCCAAAGCTGACTAACCCACATCATGACCACATCATTCTTTAAAAATAGGAATACACTGTCACGTTGCAGTTCCATGTTACAGGTTTAAGAGCCACTTTTTCTCATTAAGATTCTGCATACTTGACTTCATTATGCACTAATTTTAAAGTAACTCTAAAAGGCAATTATTTCTTCATTTCCAAGCTCTTAAAGAAACCTACACTGTAGCCCCCATGTGCTAACGACCTAAGGATCTAAATAATCCCTTTGGATTTTGGGCTGACCAAACCATTTTTGTACTACTAGGCATATTTAAACCAGGTAGATAACCATGTGTAAATCAGGATGGCAGAGAACTCTTTCTTCCAGGTCTCCTTTCTCGCCCATAATCCAGCGAAGCTAAGGGAGGTCTTAGCATCTTCTTTTCCTATTCGCTTATTCTTTGTCACACTTCAACCCCATCTGTCTAAGCGGGCAACATTCAAGTCTGTGCCACTGTCTTTGCCTCTCAGCCACACTCTGGTTCCACGCCACACACTTCATTCATTTCAGTGTCCATCTACCACTAAATAATATCTGGAACCTAAGAGACTTCTCTTCACTCAAACTACCCTTGTTCCTGAATTCTAATTGTTAATAGTATCACCAGATGTGCTACCCACTGTCCCCTTATATCTAGTCAGTCACCAAAAATTGTTGAAATTTGTCTTCAAAAATATTGAGCCAATGCATCTATCACTACT